GTCCCCTCTCAGTGTGGCCTGGGAGCTCTCCAGGCAGCAGGCAAGGGGTGTGCCCAGCTATGTCCCTTCTCTTAGGATCACGGCCCTGTGCTCCTTGTCTATGGTCCAAAAAACATTATTTCAGGCCGGGTGTGGTGGCTCACGCCTGTGATCCCAACACTTTGGGAGACCAAGGCAGGAGGACGGCTTGAGCCCAGAAGTTTGAGACCTGAGCAATATAGTGAGACCCCATCTCTACAAAAAGTAAAAAAAAAAATTAACTGGGCATGGTGGTGTGCACCTGTAGTCCTAGCTACATGGGAGGCTGAGAGGGGAGGACCACCCGTGATGAGCCGTGCTCATGCCACTGCACTCCAGCCTGGGTGACAGAGTGAGGCCTCGAATTAAAAAAGAAAGATAAAAGTATGTTCTTTATTTTCCTCAATCACTCTTTACGCGTCTCCTCTCATTAACCCTTAACAGGGCTTAACTTCTTAAATCCTAGAATCTGAGGCTTGAGTAGAAATTCTTATTTTCCCCTAACCTTGAGGACTCAGATTCAGATTCACACTCTTCTAATTAGAAGACTGTGGAGACGCGTCGCCAGCCACAGCTCGAGCCACCTGACAGCCAGACTCTTGCTAAATGTGCCCCCAGTCCTGTAGATCCACCCCCCTTCCCCGCCTGTGTCATGTACGCATGGCGACAGTCGCCTCTTCTGAGTACTGGATTCCACGGGTGTTCGCGAAGTTCGAGTGGTGCAACCGTCACAGCAATCCAACTTCCTCTCTCCCAGTAGGCATTCACCCCCTCTGCCGCCCCGCATCAGGCCACCTGAATGTGTCCCTCTAGATGAGTCTGGCCGGACGTCTCATGCCCTCCACGACTTCCAGGCCTGGCTCTGTTACCTGGCCCCACCCTCTTGTACCACTCGCGACACGTCAGAGTCAAGGAGGGGGAGGCGATGACGGTGCCAGGCGGGCGGCAGGGAGACGCTGGCCACAAGACTGGGCATCCTGAGACCCAGGGCATGGCTGCCATTAACACTGCAGCCTGCGCTGGCATCTCTGACGACGGAGAGACCCTGAGCATCGCCCACGCATCACGCGCACGTAGAGGGCTTGAGGCGGCACCAGGTCCTGTTTCTTGCCGAGCACTATTCCACTGCACGGTTCCCCACACGGTTCACAAAGTCCCACTGGGTATCTGGGCTGTTTCCGATGTGGGGCTCCAATAAATCACACTGTTAAGAACATTTACAGTGGCCGGGCTCAGTGGCTCAGCCTGTCATCCCAGCACTTTGGGAGGCCGAGGCGAGTGGATTGCCTGAGCCC